TTTATTTTATTGAAAACAATTACAGTAAGGTACTTAATTGTTACCCAAATGATTCGATATTGATATAAAAAAAGGCTGCATTGGACCTTTAAGATTTTACATTGAAATCATGGCATTCTTCATTGGGGTAATATTAGTTGAATTCAATAATTTCATCAAGTCTAAATTAGTTGAATTGCTTACCACCACCCAGACAGTAAGTAAGTAGGGTGGAGAATATGTATCATGTATCTGCACACTTATGTGTCAATCACCCTGCTCCAAGTTCTTTGTCAATAATCTATTTGACAAACACCAGAGGAGAATGATGATCACTAAAAGTAAAAAGTGATTGATTATATCATGGGTCAATTATATTCATGTAATTATCGTGAGAACCAGAAGTAGCCCATTCTCCAGAATTCACTTTGAAACGAAAAAGTTGGGGTTGGGAGTGAAACTGATGTCTAATAATATTTTAGACACAATGCTGAAATGCTAACATTTGTCATACCATGTATTTTGCCAATTGAATAAATGGTTCCAGTTTTCAGAACAAAACACTTAAATGACCAGCCTCTGCAATTCAATTTATACGATCTTTATTTACTTTTAACGAAAGAAACACATTCCACGGAAGATGCAAAAGTGGGAAATGATTGACTTTACAATGATGAAATGTTCTGATGAGGAGAAAGTGCAAAACAGTGTTGGTAGCTGTATTAGAAAACATCAGTAGCAATAATAATAGACTATTATTAATATCAATGATAGCTTAATAATTATAATATGCCTAGTAATAATATTAATACATAAATTGCTATAATAATAATAATAATGTAATACTTTTTAAATTAAAGCATGAAATGTTAAAGACAATATAACCACTACAGATCCGACAGCAGTCTTCATGTAATTTCATGAGTGAATATAATTTGCACAAAAAATCCTACATCCCAATATTGCTGTGGAGACAATACCAGTAGGCCATAATTATCCTCTACTAATTAGTGAAGCAAAAGTCATATTTTCCAGTGCCTTGTCAATTTACGTTATTCAAGATTCTTGAGCCATACTGCTTCTTGTAGCCGTCTCTTAATACTCCTGAAGAGCCTGCATCTCAGCGTTTTTCCTTTTTTCCCGGAGTGGTCCGTCGACTCAGTCCAGTTACAGTCGTCTGATCTGGCAGGAGGCGCCAGGTTATCCCCGGGGAGCTGGGAGTCAAGGACTGTAGCTCGAAATGCAGAATAATGTAATTCTATCTGGTCTGAATTCAACCTAATTACAGCAGAAAGCAAAACAGGCAGAGAGCCTAGCGAATGCAAATGGATCGGGATGACATGCAGGCTCATCAGGGTAATGCCCGACATCCTCGAGTGGAGAGCTTTGGAACAGACGCACCAAAGAGCGCGAGCCTGCCTGAGTGACGGGAGTCAATGCAGGCGCTTTTCTTCCATTTTCCTTTACCAAAACAAAGCTAAACAACAACATATTCTCTATTTTCTTGTGATTATCGAAAATTAAGGCTACAAGAATAGACATAACAGCAAAGTGATAATAACAACTATATAACAACATCATAATTATTGAGTGACAGGCTATATACATTATTATTAATAATATTATTAGGCTATTATTATTATTATTATTATTATTATTATTATTATTATACAGTCTGTGCAGGCTGTTATTTGCCTATTATTATGTTCACAGAACCTTAAGAGAAACCTTTGTACTAATTATGAATATGTTGTCTGTCTTATAATGATTATTACAAATGCAATCAGTTAAGGTTTGGATAACCAATATCATGGAATATAAACTGCATATACGGCATCAGTGACTGGTGCACAGCACAGAATATATGCCTTTAGTTTAAAACGAGCAGACAGGTGCCTGTGCCCTTGCAATGATCACAAAGCCTGTTTTTGTTCCAATTTGAGCATTTGTTTCACAATATTGTTTTATTGCCCCTTAACTGCAGCATTTAAATCATAATTTGACATGTTCTTAGAGGACTGACTTTCTCTATGGCTCCTTTTTGTGCAAACTATCGCAGTTGTTTGCAAAATCTCTTGAAGCCTTCTGCAGAAACGTTGCACACGCCAGAGGCTGGGGGGTCACTATAATATACCAGGGAGCCAACTGTGACAAATTCCTTTTGTCTGCGCTTTGCGGGTACTTTATTACCCAGACGAGCAACACTGCCTGGAGATAACGATTCATCACCGGCTGCATGGAAGCCGCCATAGACATCGCCTCTGGGCAACCAGCTAAGGGCTTTCATATTGCCATTTGAGAAGGGGATTGCACGCAGAGAGCAGCTTGCGAAGGAGGGGGGGCGGGGGACACACACATTTGAGGGAGAGGTTGATTAAATTGGTTTAAATCTTAATATGGATGCAATCCTTGTCAAAGTTGAACAGAAATAGCCGTGATTTTTTTCTGATGGCAAACGCTTCGTCCACAATTCCACGTGTTATTAATGTGCCTTAATTCACTTACGGTTTAGGCCTATTGCTTATATATCTTGAACTAAAATGTTGGCTTGGAGTTTTATTTGATTTTTTCGAAACTGTCATTGTTTGGTCTTATTTATGGCTTATTCGATTGTGTTAAAAAAATACAGTTTTAACTACGTTGTTCCTGCCTGATTAGTTTCATTTCAGTATGAGCTGGTAATGAACGTAATGAAATGAAACACCAGTTAGGTAGGCTCAAGTTGTCAGGTTCAATAACGAGAGAGCTTCTTAGGTTCAAAATAGAACATAGCATAAACTAGGCAAAATTAAAGGCTATATTATGTTGCCTCTTACACGAATTGGTTTTGTATTTATCAGGGATGTGTTTACACAAGTAGCCCTATTCCAGCGTTTCCCAAACTCGGTCCTCGAGACCGCAAGGTGTGCACGTTTTGTTTTTTTGCCCTAGCACTACAGAGCTGATTCAATTAATCAACTAATCATCAAGCTTTGATTATTTGAATCAGCTGTGTAGTGCTAGGGCAGAAACCAAAACGTGCACCCCTTGAGGTCCCGAGGACCGAGTTTGGAAAACGCTGCCCTATTCTGATATTTTTCCAAATTATTGGCAAAAGAGATTATCTGATTGGTCAAAAGACAAACGAGTGGGAAAAGATCAGAATTAGGCTGCCTGTGTAAACGCAGCCTTTGTTAGTGAATATAACTCGCTGGCCTATAGATAAGAAACTGAACCGTCAATGAACACCGCTTGGCTCTTTTGAAAGATAATTTAATTGAAGTCAATAACAGGACAAAGAAATTATGCAGTTATGAATGCTTTTCACATCCTCTTCTCAATGAGTCCCTCCTCGATAATAAACGCTTCCAGGAGGGTAGAATGTAACAGATGAATATATAATTGAGATAAGTCAATCAGACTACAGTGTTCTGTTACAATAAGTATGAACCAAGACGACATAAATTATTGGCATGATCAATTAGCCTATAAGGCAATGACGTGTCCCATACCCATACAATTAGCTTATTTTAGTCAATCAAAATCGTTGTCAAGGGTTATCATAGACCTGCATTACGCTAATTCCGCTAATTCCACTATGCTGGGTTGATTTAACTGCCGCAGCCTAAAATGCCACCTTGCTATGACCTTAGGGCGCGCGCAGATACAGCGAGACATCATCCTTTTGCTCTCGAGGCTTCATTGTGAAGAACTAAAGAGAAAGCCTCTCAAATAACCATTATGTCACCAATTGGAGATGATGTGTGATACATCATGGACGTTTACACATTCATTTTGCCATAATGACGCATCCATCGCCCAAATGTCCAGTAGCATAGCCTGTCGTCACCAACGTGATATCAATAGTTAGGTAGTTTAACAGCAATTTAGTTCAATTTTACGCGCTTCCAAGGATGGCTCTCCAAAATATTCGTCCCCTCTTTATTTTATTCGATCACGTTTAAAAACAAACACATCTTAGGTTTACACTACCCCCATTCTCGTCGCCTCACGTGTCAACGTCTATTATTGATATAGCTTTAAATTCATACAATTGATTTTATGATTCCCTTTAGCCAGTTTGAGCAGTTGAGAAATATATTTATTCGCACGGAAGCTGAAATAAGTCCGTAATAAAACGATCATATATTAAATTCGTTTTCCCCGTGTTGCAGATTTATTATGAGTCATTTTTCATGTTTATTAAATTTAGACTGGGCAATCCGTCCTCTTGCTTCAGGCGGAGAAAGGTTAAATCATTTGTGCCAATCAACACTGTGTTTTGCACTGTCAAAGGCAAGCCAGGATTCTCTTATGGACCTTATTGACATAGGCTGGCCTAATATCCTTGCACTAGTCTATCTTAATTTATTTTATGAAACCTTCCATTGAATAGGCCTATTGCGGGAGCATGTTTATGTCTTTCTGAGTTGTTCATGCGCAAGTGTTGTTGGACAAGTGCAAGATTCCCAGTTTGCTGTCCAGGATATTTTTTGCCTACTTACATGATATTGATGGAAGAACGACAATCTTGTCAAAATCATGATTATATAGCCTGCCTTATACTCCAACTTCCCACCGCACTAACGGTTGTCTTCTTGATGTACAGTGTTAATGGTGTGTAATAAGGCGATTTCCATAGGCCTAATGGTAAATTAGTTGAAATTCTGAGTTAGGCTATTTGGCTGCTATCAGGCCTACAGTGAAAGGGCAATAAACAGGGATGTAAAATCCATAGTTACATAGCAATTAAACATAGTTTCATCATGCATGACAGTCCATATCTATTAGCCAGTTGTTCATGTCATCTTTTTATAGTGGGATTAAGGTTGGTGATAGCCTATGTAGCCTAATTAAACAGTTATATTTTGATAGACTGTACACTGTATGTCATACAGCACAATAAAACTGGGACTGCAACTGGAAATTGGCTGCGGGTTCTTTAAGAGAAGGGAGCAGGCTGCAAAACATTGTCTAACTGGAAATGCGGGGGCCAATGGATGACCGAATGGCAAGATTTAGGCAGAAGGGGTGTCTCAGCTGCTGAAATCACTTCAAGACGCACTGTAACAGAGCAATCCTTTCCAATTAATTCTCATGTTTAGCACAGTTAACACTTCATTTTGCTACATCTTTTGATACGATGAGGTTGAGTCGCCAATTCCCTCTGCTTTTGGAGATGTCGTAATAATAATGCCAGAACAGAGCGCCAGTATCCTCTTCACAGGAATTTGGGAATTCCTCAAATTGCGGATTTGGCTGTAAGTAGTCTGGCTAACTATTTTACATGACCAATAGGCTATTGATATCTATCGATTACTGTGATATGTGCAAGCAAATATGTTAAAGTACATACTACAAGGTGATGGATATGCATTTTAAGACTCCCAATCTATCCCGATGGATTATTAACAGTGCATTTTAGCCTACCCCGTGTCGATGTATTCTGGACAGATAATGGCAACGCTTCGGACAGTGTGGGTCGCGCACTGCTCAAGGAAATATATTTAGGCTAAAAGACCTGAACACAGACGTGGGTATCATTTATGCGTCTGATACTGCGACAATAAGGAAAACAAATATATAGCATACTTTTTTTTATCAACATATGAGTCGTTTTGAGACGCTAATATCAATACAGCAATGGAGAACACTGGAATTGAAGAGGTAAACCAGACACACCAGCAGCACGAGCCCATCAGTTTTGGAATAGACCAGATACTGAACAGCACTGACCAGTCCAGCAGCTGCATGCTACCCAACCGAACCAGCGACACGGATTACACGCTCGCCCCAAACGTTTACACCAATGGCTATAACAGCGTCTACAACCCGGCATGCTCCATGGCGGCTGGGCTCGCTGGTTCCTATAACGTGAATATGAACATGAATGTGAGCATGAACATGAACGTTAACGTAAACGGAGGGAACGCCGGTGGTGTTATCAGGGTACCAGCTCACAGACCCATGCCACCGAATCCGCATCCGCCACCTCCTACCCATCCGCCTTGCCTCGCGGCTGGCATCCCCTCAGTGACTTCAATGCCAAGTATGGGAAATGCGGCAAACTTTACCTTCCCGTGGATGGAGAGCAGTAGAAGATTCGCAAAGGACAGACTCACTGGTAAGATTTATGTTTATGTAGACTACAATTCTGTCACAAAATGGGACTATTGCTTCATGGATTTCTCCATAGGCATATCATATATTTTCCAGTGGAAAGGAGGTTCAAACTTCAATATAATTCATATAAAGGTCACCTTTAATTGTTGTTTGTCAGTTGAACCCACATCCTTAAAAGTATGCCATATGCCTAGGAAATTTGTTTTAGCATCTTGACTTTGTCAATTATGAAGGCATGGTAGCCAATTTTGTGACAGACTCATTTATCAAATCATATGTGCGACCGGGCATATGGCATGATGAATTCGATTTTACATCAAGGCCTGTCTGTATCATATTAGTTAATTTTAAAGGCAAGTGAATACTTGCAGGTATTGTTAAGAAAATATCTTATGTACATTTCAATAATGATATGGGTTTAATGTCATCCGTTAGGATTGCGGGATAACGTTGATAAATTACCTCGTGCATCCTAATCAAAATAATAGCTCCCATACAAAATGGATGACATGATTTGAAGAGATTACTGTTTTTCAGATTTATTTCTGAATATAAAATTCACCATTCAACACCATCCAAATGTAGTTTAATAATAGCAACATCAGTATCAATAGGCTATAATAAAAAATAATAGGTTAGCTGTTATGTCTGTGAGTATTGCTGTTGTTAATAGGCTATTATTATTGCTTATTGTAGCAGTATAATAGCAATATAACAATTTACAATAATAACAACAATTAAAACCAACAGTTTTCTAGCATATTCTTATCATTATTACGAAACGTTTACTTTTTGAGGCATATTAGCTAATTCTTAGTCATTGTGGCAAATAGGCCTATAGCTTCGTCCAAGAATAGGATCTAAATGTAGCGATTCAGTCTACGGCAAGTCATTGAGGATGCAGTCCTGCAGGTGGGCTACGTAAATAATGTTGTCTGTGATCTACTGGCCTATTCATAGTCACTATCTAGGCCTATAGTTGTGTCACTATCAACACCGGACAAACATGTTATTTTTTGTGTTTAGCATTCACGGGGTTATTTGACATTTCCCTTTCCGCGTTGAATATCATGCAAATAAATGCAAAGCATCAACGCAATTCGTGTCCTAGGCCTATTGAATAAACGCTGTCTTATTTTAATAGAACTATCTTCAACACAGTGTTGAACAATTATCCAGTCTTACGTCCAGCCTAACTGACCCCATTGAAAGAAAATAAAAAAGGAAAATAATTGTGTCAAATTCTTTATAAACTTTGAAGTATGACATCTAAACATTTAGCGTACGGCCGGACAGTTTATTTCGCCCATAAACCATTGAATTGACATTGTATCTTCACCATTGGGCTGTCAAGGTAAATTGGATAATATTGCAAACGCTTCACTTAAACTTGTAAACGCTTCAATGTCTATATGACATTGGCAGGTGTAATTAATTATCTATATCATTCACAAAAACACGTGATTTCTGCATAGAAGAATAATTAATCCAAGTATTGTGGCTGTGATTGTGAATATAGGACCTACTGTATATGCCTGCAGGTCCGGAATCCTTTGACCAACGTTTTTCTCGCATTTTGGGAAATTAGAAAAATTGCCATTTCTCCAAAATTAGGCTTAGCAAAAGCACAACAAATCAAAATCTGTTATGCTTCTGTCATAATCCTTTTTCACATAGGCTCTGGTGTTTTCGATTAGCCTATAGAAAAAGGCATTAAACTAAGGGTTACATGGGCCATGATAGGCCTATTACATGATAGGCCTACTGTTTCATATTTTCATATATTTGTAGGATTATAGAAAGGGGTAGTAGTAATTTATAACTGCCGTGCAAATGAAAACTTAATTCGACAGGCTGGCAGTTCGATGGCCTGCTTTTGGCTACAATGACCATAACCTCACCCCCACTCGGCCGAGATATTCGTTTTTCTGGCATGACGTCACCACCATGAAGAGAAAAATGAAGACCATCATGGATTGGCCCGCATTAAATATTAACAATGACGTGCTTTCCTCATTAATTATTTGAACCAGAGAACGATATGTCAACTGTAAAATATCTTATGTAAATATGCTTATCAATTTTATTCATAGTCACAAAGGGACACTTGTTTCATTTGGTTTATCTTTGGTGTTGGTTATAGCCTAATCTTCAACCATCCACCAACAAGACGTTCATTTTAAGTGATCACTTTTTGTTATAATTGGTGATCAACATTTGAGAAAAAAGGCCTATCTTTTGAGATTTATTGAAAGTGCTTAAAGTAGGATATTACAGTGTAGCCATTTGTCAACATTGTTTGACATTTATTTTTTAAATCACCTATAGCTAACATAAGGATGTTTTTGCCATCGATTTTCATTTGAGTTAATTATTTTTTATTGTAGCATAGGGGCTAAATTGTATTTCCACCTTTAAAAATAATTTTTAAAATGGTATAGAAGATGGTATAAAATATATCTCTTAGTTGCTGGATGACTTAGCTCAGCAGTCAGCACCTGTCTGTTCGGTTGCCTTAGCCTAAATTCATATCTCAAACCGTAAAGCGTTTCTCTGGATGCTTGAAATAGACCTCTCCTTTTTTTTTTATAATTCCCTCTCAAATTGGATTGCAGCGCTGAATTTCACCGCAAGTGTCAAAGCAAGTGAAACAGCGAACAGGCCTACGATTGGAGATGTGATATTCACAACAGACCGGACATACTCTACCTCAACAGATTGGAAGGCGCTGTAAGGGAATACCACATGTTTCTATGTTGATTGACTTCTTGGCAGTTTGCAGGTTTAATGAAGCAGAGAAGTGCATAAACAGATTTGTCCCCTCAAGTCAATAAACAAAGTTGTTCATATGGCTCTAAGTTCTGTAGAAATGGGCAACTAGGATACTTCAAATCGAAATGTAGGCCCATTGGCCTGTTGTTGGTAACGTATATCTTTACAATATCTGCATGCATTGCCATAAAAACGTGTAAAATATTGTAAAAGACACAGTATAATCTTAAAGTGAGGTAACTGTAATTTAATGAATGGCATCCATACCCACAATAATTAATGTATTTTGAGATTTTAGCATTAGGACAGCTGATTAGTGTTTATAGTAATGACATTATATAGCCTACCATAAAATACATTGATGCCATGTAATTACAAAACCACTAACAGATACTACAGTTGTAAGTACAATGAATAATACGATGTGATTACATTGTACCTGCTTGCTGTACCTGTGTAAGGTCCCATAATGGCCATTGAGGTAAGACTATGGCTATACATCTCATTGCATTACTATAACAGTGCTTTATCTGTGTCAGAAATAATGATCTTCCCCGCGAATAAATTTATTTAAAGATGGCGACAGTAATGGTGATATTGACCGGGAAAGCTGAACAGTTTTCTCAGGAAGTTGCTTCTATTCTCAGCCAGTGTTGCAGGGGCAAATGGCTCTGTTTTGCCTCATAGTGTAATAAATAGCAATATGTTCAAGTTATATTTCAATATCCCCGTTAGAATTCTTTATATATATTTATTAGATTGCTACACAGGTAATATCCGCAGTGGGGAAGAGAGGCGCTGTCACAGAAAGGTGTTATTAGGTATAAGTGGTTTTATTATGGTCCCATATTCTCTACGGTATCATTTTATTTTTTTATACGCTTATGCTAAATCATATTACCCAGGCATCAGATTTAGTATTCTCCACCATCTCTGTTGTCGTCCCTTTGAGCAAAATACATTAGAACAATTCCTGCAATGTGTTCTTGAACATTTTTCTATGCAACTTTCAAGTGAAAATAAAATACAACTATTGAATGAAATCAAATACATAACACTTTAACAATTTTACCATGTTCAATTTTATTTATCTGGTTTGTGAAATTCAGTGACCTTGAGACTTTGAGGGAAATCTGGTCCACCACTCTGTCTCCATATTTGGCCTTGCTCAGTTATGGGAAATGACAGTATATCTTCAATGAATACAATTATTGTGGTAATTGTCTGTGCATGCAGAAACATTCTGACAACAACTTATTGATGTCCTTTGTAATATGGGCTGATTATTAAACACAATCACATCACATTATAAAGACTATTACTGTAAAGAGGCTGACGGCTAAATTGAACAAACTGCCTTGTTCCATAAATGTCTACAGGTTTTGATGACAGACAGGTGTGTTGTGGGCTCCAGGCACACTGCTGCATTTAGTGGGATATTACCACATGCTCAGCTCTTTATTTTGGAAGCTGGTCAAAAATAGGGACATCACAGACAACCTAAAATAAAAACCTATGGTATGATGGCTTTTGTTCTACTGTGACATTAATTATTAGTCATCAACCATAGGAATATTGTTACATTTCAAATGGTTCAATTGTTTATGTGGAAAATCTTATGTCAGAATGAAAGTTTGATTGAAGGTGCCCTCTAGCAAGTTTGACTGGATGGCAGTCTGTTTGCGTGTTACTCTTAGGTTGCATGTGAACGTGCTTGTATGTGCCTGGTCCATTAGCTTGTCCACAGATGGCCTGAAATAGAAGTCTAATGTGGTATTATCTGTACCCAGACCTGCATGTTGAGCCTGGAGCAGACATGCTTGCTCCAAATGTGTGACCTATTCATTTCTATCCTCAGGCAAAGAAGGGTTGGACCCTCTCTAGATTAAAAAGACTTTTTCAAAACTCAGCACTTACAGTCAATGTTTACAATTATATTACAAATGTACCCAATTTACATTTTGAAAGTGTATTTATTTATCATGTGTGAGTCATTTATTCTGCCATTTATGTTTATAACTAATCAGAGAGGTTGGGAGTGATTTGAAATGATTGTTGAGGGCATTATGTGGCTTGTGTTTCATTTGTGTTTCATCTCATCTCCAAAGTGCCTCTGTGGAAAATGTATTTTGATTGTTCACACTGAATCCAGGTTACTAAATTCTCAACAAGGTAACATTGGTCCCCCAGGACACCTATGGAAATGTTTTCATATGCATTTTGGCTGCTGGTGAGCTCTCTGACAGAACTAGACCAATAAACATACTGTAAGACAACAGGCAAACAGCTTGTGAGGAAGAAGGAAGCATGCTCCCGATTCCCTTGGACAGAAACGTCTGTTTTACAGGTTATGGATCTAGATGAGTATAGGGCTTGAGAAGGGCTCTATATCCAAACATATTATATTACATTTGTGAATGTTCTATTTATTTATGCCTGACGAAATAGACAATATGGTACAAATAATTTACCATAAAATGCTTGAGATAAGTACTTTTCTTTTGTATCAGGTTTTAATTAGTAAAAAAGGGAACAAATGTAGCTTGTACATATCGCCTAATTATTATGAATAACTGGATAGGTTAGGAAGCTAACTGTAATGAACTGGCATCAAACCAAATGTGATACTGTCAGCCTAACCAATCAGCTGAAGGCACTTATTGTACTAAATGACAAATCCCCATCTGAGATAAAAGCAATGAGAGGTACTTCCAGAGTACCCCCACCTGCCCCCCACAGCTCCACGTGGGTCCCTGACTGTGTCTCCCTTTCTTTAGCGGAGCAGGCAGAGGACAGACAAGCAGGAGACCCCAGTGGGAGGCCAGGAGCCCCCTCGGCCCTGCCAGGCCTCTGCCCTCTCCCCAAGGGGGACATCGGCAGGGTCCCTACCTGGAGCTCTATGGAGACATTAGCCAAACACTATTACCCAGAACTCGCTCACCTGCGAGACACTGGCCCACTTGCAGACTATCCCTTTCGAAAGGGTACTTGTCCAGGTGAGTCACTTCCCTGGTCTTCTTTTAAATGTGCCTTTCATCTTGGCCTGGTTGGTTTTCTCCTGGTTTCCATCAGGGGTGTTAAAATACCAAAATGCATAGGTCTATAGGACATGTACTGAAAAACTGTATGCATTAGATATGAGAAAAACATTAATATAGGACCGTTTTTACCTTGTAATCATATTACAAGTGGTAATAGCCAGTGATGAACCATTAAATGTTGGCTAATTCCTGGTTTAAAAAAAAGATACATGCTGAAATATTGTGTTGAATTAGGGATGGACAACAAAATCACCCATATAATATACACTGGTGATCATGCAAACTAAATCTATGACAAAGAATGGTATAATATGTCAGAGAAGGTTCTCGCTTGCCCAAGGTTCGTCTCTGAAAAACGAACATAGTGTCTCTCTCTCTCTCTCTCTCTCTCTCTCTCTCTCTCTCTCTCGCTTGCTCTCTCTCTCTCAGCAGCCCTTTCGCCCTTCTCCGTGACCCGGCGCATCGGCCACCCCTATCAGAACCGGACACCACCCAAGAGAAAAAAGCCCCGTACCTCATTCAGCCGAGTGCAGATCTGTGAGCTGGAGAAACGCTTTCACCGGCAGAAGTACCTGGCGTCAGCGGAGCGCGCCACCCTGGCCAAGGCCCTGAAGATGACGGATGCACAGGTCAAAACCTGGTTCCAGAACAGGAGGACAAAATGGCGGTAGGGGCCCATTACAGCAACACATTACAGTAACACATTACAGCAACACATTGCTGCAACACATTACAGCAACACACTTCTAGACATTCTTCAACACTTTCAGTGTTAAAGCATTTTTTATTGTTACTTTTAGGACATTCTTTACTTCAAGAAAGGATATATTCTTTACTCAAAGCTGCTGTCCATTGTTCTTGCTGCCGTATGATTTAAGCATTAGGATACATTAGACTGAAGCATTATGATAAATTAGATGAAGCATTATGATACATTAGACTGATGCAGGAAGTGACACAAAGTAACAACTGTGCATCCGTTTAAATATGGTATGTGAATTGCTTTGCTTGTGGTGAGCAAGCTTTTGTGATGTTTTATATGAATATACTATATTCCTGTGGTAGATAATGTGCCCAGCCCATTTTTTTGTTGTGACAGTGAAACACCTTTTTTGCTTAGCTTAGCTCCTACTTGTTTTTGGAGGCCAATTCCCTTGACCAAGCACAATTAGCCCTGTTCTTTAAAGGCTTTCTGGAAAGGTGCTGTCCAAAGCAATATTGACCCACTAGTCTGAATAATTGAGTGCACTGTCCATGGCAGAAACTCTTCCCCCTAATTCACTCAAACTGTTGTTTATGGTCATATGAAATAAATGAATGGACTATCAAATTATAATACCTTACCTTTATTTAACCTTGATGTCATATCTGAGTCATCTTGACTCATAGACTCTGGCATACCTTGTATTAAAATGTGTCCTGTGATCAGATCTGGCGGACCTTCACCTGACATGGGAAAAGCTGGCACACGACGCATTTTAATACCAGGTGTAAGAGTAAAGCCTGAGATCCTATTTCAATAGGTATTTGTATGCAAGGTGTCGACACAGGGCCATGTTTTCTATAGAAAACATCAAGATCTGTTTAAAGGACAATTAAATGTAATGCGACAGTTTGTATTTTAGTGATCAGTTACGTCTCTGTTGAATTCTGAAATTCAAAACACACATGAAAAAAAGAACGGCTAGATGGCATATCATGAATAACCGGGGAATTGGCTAACTCACTTTCCTGATTTCCGAGCTAGTTTTGGTGTGATTTATGATGTTTCCCCATAGTGTGTAGATAGGATGTGCATGAAGGATGTATTTGTGGGACGGCTACGCTAGTAACAAGCATATGATCAAATGAACAGCAGCGAAATTGGATTTGGATAATGTAGTTAGCAATAACGTGTGGCTAATGAAAGGAGGATGGTGTGTATGAAACAATATTTTAGAGGTGTTTTTCTGACCCTGTTGCACATGCAGGCCTAACCATCACATGTAAATACATAGAGCATAATATCCATGTAAGAATGACATACATCATTGTTTTCATGAAAATTTAATAACGGTCATCCAAAGGAAATAAAGGTAAAAATAATTAATCATGGTAGAGTTTTTTTTAATGTAGTTATTTTGAACGATACAGTATCACTTTTTGATGGACTGAATACTTATATTTCAGGAAGTATCTGGCTTTTTGATTTGAAAGTAGGATTTATGGTGACATATGAATATTTAGGCATTGTTTAGACAAAAAACAATCCCTTTTCCCCACTGTGGAACCAGGAGACAGACAGCCGAGGAGCGTGAGGCAGAGAGACAGCAGGCCAACCGTCTGATGCTGCAGCTCCAACAGGAGGCCTTTCAGAAGACCCTGAGCCAGCCCCTGCAGCAGGACCCCCTCTGCCTGCACAACTCCTCCTTGTACGCCCTACAGAACCTACAGCCCTGGGCGGAGGACAACAAGGTGACCTCCGTCACCTCCCTGGCATCTGTGGTCTGAACGTGTGTGTGTGTGTGGGGGGGGGGGGGGGGTGTAATTCATAATAAGAATATAATAGTAATATTGATGATTTTTCTAAGGGAAAATGTGGGTGGGCCATTTGTTGGGGAGTGACCACTCATATCTAGATGGATGCATAGGAGGAGCCGATGCCTGAGGCCTTAACATTCAAATGTATTTTATGTAAAGACTGTTGCATTGTGGGATTGTACAGTAAAATGTTTCGGATGATTAAAATTGACATTGTATCCTTATTTAATGTGCATACCAACTGCCATTATGGACAAGGAGGAAAGCTATAGGATATGACGTGTTCTCTATGTATTTCTTTACAAACCACGTATTCTCTTTTATAGATCATATGTGGACTTCTTGGCGTGGACAGACATACATTTAGTTCCACTGAAATGGACAATGATCAATGAGTCTACTAAGTTTTTTCAGACCTGATTCTGTCAAGTCATTTTCCTACCTTACACTAGATTTTCACTCTCCCTTCAGCTGTCTGTCTAAACAGAGGACGAAGCTAAATCCTCACTACCAGACAACTAACAGACACATCGGTAGATGCCTCCCATCAAGACTGTCCTGTTGCCAACAGGGAAGCACTGACTCTCAGCCTTACGGCAACAAAACTGGTTCCCATTCTTTTGCTTTTGGTTTTGTACAATGTAGTAATGCATGTTTCAGATATTTCTGTGTGCACTTGGAATTGCCATTGCAGTCACCAGCCTTCCAGGTGGATCCTTTCCCTGACTGCAGTTTGCAAGTGGTATCTCTTCGAGGATTACTCATAAGGTGTTTTACACCTTTTAAGGTGTTTTATATTAAATGATATTGTGACTTTTTGAAAAGATTATCAAAATTGGAAGCCTCTCTTTTGTTGTTGTTCTTTCACCAGAAAGGATAACTGCATAATTTCACGCAATCACACAGTTTCACACATTTCCATACCTCCTAAAGTAAGTGTCCTCTACTCTATCAACATAATGTTGTTGACTATGCCACACTTATTGGAATCTTTCAGTGATACTCTTTCATTCCAATATTTCATCCTTATGACAACTTCATCTCTATAGCCAAACCAGCAGGTCATGTTTCACATAACACCAGAAAAGGTTAAACGTTTTGCATAGGGTGCTGTTATCAGTAATGGGAGAGTTACTATATATGTTATAGTGAAACAAGGGTTTTTGTGAGACTGCTTGGATGCTAATGATGCACTTAAAGTCAGACTCAAACAATTAACCTAATGCAACAAATTATCTGGGAAACGAGGCCGAGGTGGGATGTCTTCTGAACAGTTTGTTCTAAAACCCTAGACCTTGAGGGTAGAACAGTGTCAGTGGTGTCTGTGATCCACAAATATCCATGTCTACCAAGAGACATTGGACAGTTGTCAACATCCGTTATCATCCATGTCAAGTAAAAACAAAAATGTCCTATCTGGAAGCACAACACACTGCTAATCTAGATAGATCTCTAGGGTGGGGCATTGTATAACTGCAGTTTTCTTGTTTGTAAATGAGGCTTTACTCTCTCTACTTCACGTAGATCACAGATGGTTGCTGACACCAAGAAGTAGTACTATTCCATTGTGCAGTGTTCCCTTGTTGTACTGTTTACAAAAAGCCCAGAAAACGCCCCCTGGAACTCAGCGTTAGAATAATGGCAAAATCTCACGTTCAACTACAACCATTTTCTGGTGATATCAACAGCATCAATCCACCCAAATTGGAGGATCTCCATAGTTCAAAACAACTGTCTGCCACCCTTTCTGCACGGAGACTGCATATTTTGTCGGTTTAGAGGGTGTCTCGCCTGGTTGAGATCCTGTCAATTGCAGGCAGTTGTCCAGGTGACGCCTACTCAACCCCCATTTCCTCTGCCCAGACCATGGGCCTCTTTCATCCTGCTGTCTCAGATGCCATGAAGACGTGACTTGGCCCATTTTACAAAAATTCCTCATCCTTACTGTTTTCAAAATGGTGCATTGTGTTTTGCTACAGGTGCTTAAAATTGTTTTTTTTTCCAAAGCTGAGTATGTTTTTTTACCCTCTCTGCCAAAGAGCCTTATCCGTATCCAATAAAATGTCACCACACAAGAACAAGAGCAAGAGGTTCAAAGTACATCAGACTTCCTATCAGGTACTCTGTTTTGGAACAGGGCACCAAAACACTACTATACATCACATGTTATAACTGCCACTACCCTTTTCTATTAATAAAGATTCCCCTTTTCCAGTTTCTTAAAGTGTATTGAAAGCATAAAAACGATATGGTCAGTTGTGATTTTGGATCCATTTACAGTAAAAAAGCCTATATAAAATACCTCCTTCGGATACCATACCAGCATTTACCCAACCTCTTTAGCTGCCTTTGTGTGAATAAAACCTGTGACTAGTTAAATACATAAACAAGTGGTTCACACTCAAAGACAAGTATGGAAGACCTCTCCATTTTCCAATTTGTTCCAACACTTAATCTGTTGAGAGTGTGAGAAAATGAAAAGGTTTTGTTTTTTTGCCCTCTTCCTCAACCCTCAGCAGACCCGTCGCCAGACCTCAGTCTTAAGGGGGGCATATGAAATGCATGGGAGGGCAGGGCACAATTATTATTAGCCTACAGTACGTATATTTAATAATACATTCCCTCAAGTGAGGGGGGGGCACAAGCATTTTGGGGGGCGGGCCCGGCCCCCTATGGCCCGCCCATAGCGACGGGTGTGACCCTCAGTGGGATCCGGCGTCTATAGTAGCATGTGTATGACTTCAAAATACTTTTGAATGAATACTTCTGAATGAGGCACGGATGTTTTGTACTGAAGATTCGCTTTGGTGGGAAGAAGTCAACACACGTCAAAGATAAGACAGGAACGCTGCTGCTGATGAAATAAACCCAATCCATAGGTCTCACAGGATCTTAGTTGTTATCCTTTAAATAGATATAATCTGTGAAATAGCTTTTAGGCTTTTATCTTGTCCTGAACTAAATTATTAAGAATAGCCACACTAGTTCTCACTCACTGAATTAAAAATATATTTTTATCAAACAAAATTGATTTAATATTCCAAGTTGTGGCTGTCCTAGAGGTATATGTAGCTACCAAGGGCATGTGTACAGCAAGCATGTTGTTATCACCAAACCAGAGACATTCGGCTGGGAGAAATAAGTAGCATTGGCTTTCAGTGTTTTTAACACACGAAGACAAGCTAGTATCGTATCATATTTCACATCAGGTGGAATCTGACATGTGGAATGGAGGTGTCATCTTGCGGTAGTGACAGTAGTATTTGTGGCATCATTCCAGAGCTACCTGATCGTGGTGACATGAGAGCGCACCCTCTTACGATTCAGAGGGCGATGGAAGAAAATTGTTGATTGAGTGCATGGGCCATGTATCACCTGTACAAAGGGCTCTTGAGACAAGCCAGAGCAGACTTTGCTACACAAACAAGACTTCAAACCTTAGGCTCTTTCACTCATGCATGAAACGCCGCCATTCCTTCTGGATATATGATAATACGGGCATCTATTTGAGTTAAGCTATGTGTTTGATACGGGTCAGTCACCTTTAATGTGTGCTCTGTTTCTATTGAGTCGTAGCAAAATGCTTTTCACCATGAACCTGTATAAGGTTGCGACACTAATTCTCTTTTTAAAAAGAAGGACAGCTGACAAACCAACAACAAACACTTAATTGATGTAGAAGACAAAAGTATTTCAAATCCTTAATAGGATTGAAGAATACATTAAATAATGTGAAGCCCCAAAATTGCTCCTGTTCTTTTGACCCACTACATCACTTTAAGTTAGGTTGGTCTTGTACCTAGTAGAGACAGTTTTTTTTACACAACAACACTGAATTAACAGTATTTTTGTTTTTGCACAGCACTGGTGATAAGTGGTTTATGTAATTGGAGAAATAGGGACAGTTCCTTATTCCAAACACTACTCCATTACTGTGCACTGACAAAAGTAGCAGTGTTATTGTAGTACATCAAATCAAATCAAATTGTATTTGTCACATGCGCCGAATACAACAGGTGTAGACCTTACCGTGAAATGCTTACTTACAAGCCCTTAACCAATAATGCAGGGTAAGAAAAGATTTGCTAAATAAACTAAAGTAAAAAAAAGTTACACAATAAAATAACAATCATGAGGCTATATACAGGGGGTACCGGTAGCGAGTCAATGTGTGGGGGTACGGGTTAGTCAAGGTAATTGAGGTCATATGTACATGTAGGTAGGGGTAAAGTGACTATGTATAGATAATAAACAGCGAGTAGCAACAGCGTAAAAAAGGGGGTCAATGCAAATAGCCCGGATAGCCATTTAATTGACTGTTCAGCAGTCTTATGGTTTGGGGGTTGAAGCTGTTAAGAAGCCGTTTGGACCTAGACTTGGCGCTCCGGTACCGCTTGCCGTGCGGTAGCAGAGAGAACAGTCTGTGACTTGGGTGGCTGGAGTCTTTGATCATTTTTAGGGCCTTCCTCTGGTATAGAGGTCCTGGATGGCAGGAAGCTTGGCCCCAGTGATGTACTGGGCCGTACGCAATACCCTCTGTAGCACCTTGTGGTCGGATACAGAGCTGTTGCCATACCAGGCGGTGATGCAACCAGTCAAGATGCTTTCGATGGTGCAGCTGTATAACTTCTGGAGGATCTGGTGACCCATGCCAAATCTTTTCAGTCTCCTGAGGTGGAATAGGCGTTGTCGTGCCCTCTTCACGACTGTCTTGGTGTGTTTGGACCATGATAGTTTGTTGGTGATGGGGACACCAAGGAACTTGAAGCTCTTGACCCGCTCCACTACAGCCCCGTCAATGTGAATGGGGGTGTGCTCGGCCCTCCTTTTCCTGTAGTCCACGATCAGCTCATTTGTCTTGCTCACATTGAGGGAGAGCTCCTCCTTATAGGCTGTCTCAGCACTATGGTGTTGAACGCTGAGCTGTAGTCAATCACCAGCATTCTCACTTAGGTTTTCTTAGGGGCAGTGTGGAGTGCAATAGAGATTGCGTCATCTGTGGGGTGGTATGCGAATTGGAGTGGGTCTAGGGTTTCTGGGATGATGGTGTGGATGTGAGCCATGACCAGCCTTTCAAAACACGTTATGGCTACAGACAGTGTTACTACACAGGTATAAAAGCAATATTAATGTAAAATGGTACACATCATTACAAAACAGCAATTTCATACTACAGTAGATGTTCAAATCTCAAGTATCACAGGCTTATTTCTAGTTCCTTTGCAATGACTCCATCTGGTGGACGTAAATCAAAGTGGGGTTCCCCCTTTTGTCTCACCCCAAGCTTTGATTCGATTGGACAAATATGATTTCCACAACTTCCTTTCAGCTATCCCATTGGCTTACTGCGCTGTCACTTGCCTTTACGGAACAGAACAATAACATTTAGGTGGAAAATGGCGGAGGATAGCGTCCCAGATTTAACCAGACCTCAAATGTATTTATTTGGTGAGCACGTCTGTACTGCCAAGATTAATTTTAGTGCACAGTTAGTAATGGCAGACATTTGTCATTCGTTACATAGCTATAGCTCTTCCACACACACCAAATGTCTATATTAAGCTAGCAATGCATATTAGCTTCTCGCGCCAATTCAGCAAAACCCTCTTTTGTTTGCAAGTTAGCTAGCTAGGAAGCTAGCTGGCTAGCTAGCTAGCTTAACTTGTTATCAATGATACTGTTATATTTCTGATTTCAATGTAGAATGTCAACAGCTATTTGCTTAGAGTTTGCTAACCTGTGTGTTGTGAACTTCAGGTTGTGCACTCAAATCGGACAAAAAGGAGTTCAAAGTCGAGGTGGAGGACGATGATGCGGATCATCAGCTGTCACTCAAAGCAGTAAGATCATGATGCCAATTCTGAGATCGAGTTTCCAATTACAGAATATCATGATATTGTAACTAGCTAGCTACTTTGCCAAAAGTTCATCATGGCGTTTTAAAACAATAAAAATGGCCATCAGAATTAGGTCCTGAAAACGGATGCATTTCAGTATGCTACAACTACTGTGAGTTTCTTTAACTGTAATGATATAGCTAGTTATATGTTCTTAAATATTATTCATCAAGTCCATTTATTTTTACACTTTTTGCAGTATATTTATCTTTGCACCTGTGCAGACTGGCACCTGTTAGGGATTTTTTGGGGACAAAAACGTTTTATTTTATGTAATGGAATATGTAGTCTCTTTCACCTGTTTCCCTTTTGTTTCATTACCTTTGGAAAATAACAGAAGTCCCTTTGTACCAGTACGCCACAATACCAAGTTCACCTTTGTCAACATAATGAGTAGAGATTTCTAATAGTCACAGTTCTTTGATGTGTATTTAAAGGAATAACATATTCATCAACAGACAATGTGTTTTCTTATACTTAGCTGACCTTCTGCTCATTTTCTTACCATTGCAAATGATCCAGTTCCTATCCTCTAAATAGATATCCTCATTGTAACATTCTTTCAGTCACTCAAGCAAAGATGATGATTGACAGACAAATGAGGGAGACTGGAGGGTGTTGGCGTGTTCCAACATGGAAAAACATACAGTATCATATCTGTGAAACAGCTGTGTGTGTTGGTGTTGCAGGTGTGCCTGGGTGCGGAGGCCGAGGATAAGTTTCACACGGTGGAGATCGAGGGCGTCACATACGACGGAAAGACCACCAAAATTCCACTGGCTGTGCTGAAGCCGTCCGTGCTGCCCTCTGTGAGTGTTTTAGAATGATGAATCTCCATAATTCGTGCTCTTACTCACCGTAAGCTTTAGGAATGTTCTTTTAACCTTGTCCCTTATTCCACTTTTGTAATAGCGAAAAACACTCCACTCCATTACCATGCAATTACTAAGATAACATGTGTTGTTACTGTAGTAATTACAGTGTTACTACACAGGTCTACACAGATGCTACAGGTATTTTTGGCCATGACCCAAGTCACAATACTGGGCTGGATTCAATGAACCACACAACCTATTACTATTGCACATTTTTGCACACGCTACATTGGTGGCTATAGAGACAGCGACCTACGCTTGTTATGACAAGGTCATGCCAGTGAGGGGCTATGTCTCCATGATGTCAGCCTGGTTTCTCCTAAAGCAATGATAGGCAACTTTGATGGGGGTGGGGGCCACAAAAAATCTGAACTCAACATGCGGGGCCACAGTGGCTTGCGGGTCTGCGTACCCACATCTATACCCACACATGCAGTCAGAGCTAGCCCTAGCCTTTTGAGGACCCTAAGTGAAATTTAGTTGGGGAGCCCACCAAAACAATTTCCTGCAATTCTGCACATTTTGCCATGGGGCGTAGAGAAAATATTGCCGTTTTAAAGCAAGTTTACTGCAATTCTGCACATTTTACCATGGGACGGAGACAAGATTTAGCTATTTTTTTAACTAACTTCATACAATTCTACTCATTTTGCCATGGGGCGGAGAGAAATCTTTGCAGTTTTTAATATGATATCTGAGTGAGAGTGACTAACAAAATCAATGGAGGCCGGCGGTCGGTAAATCGACCATGATTACTTCAAGTTTAGATACTGTAGCTGGCCGCTAGACTAACTTACCAATAAATAAAAAATGCTCTGTGACTGACATAACAAGAGAGAAACTGCTGATGCACAACCACATTTTGAAATTGCACCCTGTGTATTCTAACTCTCAGCAGTAAGTTGACACCCTGACTGGCGGAATTGATCCACGATCCTACAAAAGGCCGCTAGTTGCCCATCCCTGTCCTAAAGTAATCCAGTTTCTACATATTAAATGGAAAATATGACTGCCGCCCTGATCCAGAGGTCCAGAGAACACTGTCACTGTTTCTGACTTCTAATATTGTAACATGCTTGGCTTGTTGTCTGCTGCTTGACTTGTGTGTGTTTTGGTTCTGGTTCAGGCTTGAAAACACTAGCTGGGAGTGGATAATTGTGTTACTTTATGGAAGTTATCACTACCTGAACACTTCAACAGTAGTTACTCTAATACCTACACCTGTGTTTTGTTTGGTTGCCATCACCACCAGAACAATGGCCTGGTACTTAGGAATTCACATTCACAACTGTCTGGCAGCACCCACAACTTTTATGTTTAGCAAGCAGATACAAGTGAATAGATGTTTTGATTTTAATATGGTAATACATTAATAGATCATTTGATAAGATACCTTTGCTAGCAGATCCATGGGGTTCCTTCCCCATGGGGAAAAAACAAGTTGAATGTACATTCTCTAATGTCATTTGTGATGTTGAACTTCTATGTTTGATAGTTTCAACCTCTCATAAATGTGAAACACTTAAAATATTGATTATTTTATTCCTCATTTGAATGCTCTCCCCTGTTTGGCAGGTGAGTTTAGGAGGGTTTGAGATCACCCCTCCGGTAACCTTCCGCCTCCAGTCTGGCTGTGGACCAGTGTACATCAGTGGACAGCATTTTGTCAGTGAGTGACTTTTTATTTGCAGTCTGCTCATTTAGTTTCTTTGGGCTTGATATAAGGTGACATTTTGACAGGTCAAGACAGCAACACTGAATTAATTATTTCCACTTTGCAAAAAAAGAGGCGTAACCTAATCTCAATTTATAGGTGTGAAGGACTCTGATGAGGAAGAGGAGGAAAACAACACATCACCTGTGAAGAGGCTGTCAAGCTTGACCTCAGGGAAGCGTCCTGCTCCGGTAAGTTCCTCCTGCTGTTTACTTAGCTCATACAACAGGTATATAATGGAATAAACATGTTGTATTGTATTAAACTGCATACATACAGTTGAAGTCGGAAGTTTACATACACTTATGTTGGAGTCATTAAAACTTGTTTTTCAACCACTCCACAAATTTCTTGTTAACAACCTACAGTTTTGGCAAGTCGGTTAGGACATCTACTTTGTGCATGACACAAGTAATTTTTCCAACAATTGTTTACAGACAGGACAGATTATTTCAATTATAATTCACTGTATCACAATTCCAGTGGGTCAGAAGTTTACATACACTAAGTTGACTGTGCCTTTAAACAGCTTGGACATTTTCTGAAAATGATGTCATGGCTTTAGAAGCTTCTGATTGACATAATTTGAGTCAATTGGAGGTGTACTTGTGGATGTATTTCAAGGCCTACCTTCAAACTCAGTGCCTCTTTGCTTGACATCATGGGAAAATCAAAATAAATCAGCCAAGACCTCAGAAAAGAAATGGTATAAGTCCGGTTCATCCTTGGGAGCAGTTTCCAAACGCCTGAAGGTACCACGTTCATCTGTACAAACAATAGTACACAAGTATAAACACCATGGGACCACGCAGCCGTCATACCGCTCAGGAAGGAGACGCATTCTGTCTCCTAGAGATGAACGTACTTTGGTGCGAAAAGTGCAAATCAATCCCAGAACAACAGCAAAGGACCTTGTGAAGATGCTGGAGGAAATAGGTACAAAAGTATCTATATCCACAGTAAAACGAGTCCTATATCAACATAACCTGAAAGGCCGCTCAGCAAGGAAGAAGCCACTGCTCCAAAACAGCCATAAAACAGCCAGACTACAGTTTGCAACTGCAAATGGGGACAAAGATTGTACTTTCTGGAGAAATGTCCTCTGGTCTGATGAAACAAAAATAGAACTGTTTGGCCATAATGACCATCGTTATGTTTGGAGGAAAAAGGGGGTCACTTGCAAGCTGAAGAACACCATCCCAACTGTGAAGCACGGGGGTGGCAGCATCATGATATGGGGGTGCTTTGCTGTAGGAGGGACTGGTGCACTTCACAAAATAGATGGCATCATGAGGAAGGAAAATTATGTGGATATATTGAAGCAACATCTCAAGACATCAGTCAGGAAGTTAAAGCTTGGTCGCAAATGGGTCTTCCAAATGGACAATGACCCCAAGCATACTTCCAAAGTTGTGGCAAAATGGCTTAAGGACAACAAAGTCTAGGTATTGGAGTGGCCATCACAAAGCCCTGACCTCAATCCTATAGAAAATTTGTGGGCAGAACTGAAAAAGCGTGTGCGAGCAAGGAGGCCTACAAACCTGACTCAGTTACACCAGCTCTGTCAGGAGGAATGGGCCAAAATTCACCCAACTTATTGTGGGAAGCTTGTGGAAGGCTACCCGAAACGTTTGACCCAAGTTAAACAATTTAAAGGCAATGCTACCAAATACTAATTGAGTGTATGTAAACTTCTTACCCACTGGGAATGTGATGAAATAAATAAAGGATGAAATAAATCATTCTCTGCTATTATTCTGACATTTCACATTCTTAAAATAAAGTGGTGATCCTAACTGACCTAAGACATGGGATTTTTACTAGGATTACATGTCAGGAATTGTGAAAAACTTTGTATTTGGCTAAGGTGTATGTAAACTTCCGACTTCAACTGTACCATATTCCTCATCAGGCCTTATTAACAAAAGTTTTAAATACATTGTGTTTATTTCCCTTTGCAGAAGAAACTGAAAATGGAGTCAGATGATGATGATGATGACAGCGATGATGATGATGATGCTGAGTATGTATATTTGGTTGTTTAGTGTGTCTTGCGTCATGTATCTTTGTAGGACTACCATTAGGTAACCTGACAAATCAATTTTCTTGTTCTATTCTTTGTAGTGATGATGATGACGATAGTGATGAAGATGAGAGTGAGGTGAAAGTACAGAAAGTTCCAGCCAAACCAACCATAAAGAAAGTAAGTCCTGTTATTCTCTGTCCTCAAATTTAGCAACCATAAGACCTTGACAAATGATGCTGGGTATAGATGATGAATCTTACATGTCCACTAGATGTCATGTTAGACAAGGACTTGTCCATGTAGAGGAGCACGCCAATAAGAAATCCAACAAGTACTATTATGTCATCTTAGATAGCTAGGATTGTGACACATTTCACCAGACCTTGGAATAGCCACAGGATGAGACGTTTCACAACATAATCTAAAATGTTGTAGGCATATTTTATTGTCAAGTCTCATTTGTGGTATTGCATATCAGTGTCAAAGACCATTTTGTCAAATTCTTGTTGTTATTGCAAGTCTGGTAAACTACATGTTTTTAGTGCTCTCATTTGCACTCGCTGACCGGCGGCCATTTTGCTCGAGACGGAGTGGGGGAAACTTTTTCATCTTGTTCCCTCTAGTACCCATCTGGTTTTTCGAGACTAAAACACAGGGTCTGCGGGTATAATGATCGCATTTCTCCTCTGTAATCTACCTCAACACTCACTGTTTCACCAGCACCGTGCAGAGCGAGACGCAGTAAAGACAAAATGAGAAACACAGCCCACACGTCTAGGCATGGGAATTCCCATTTCCTTAACCCCCGCCCCCTCACCTAGGCCTACATGTCCTGTCCCTCTGTCCTCCTGCCGCATCTTTCTTTATTCTATCTTCCTCTCTGACATCCCCCCTTCTCTTGTCCAACAGTTCCTCATTGCACCTGGCCTTTGTCTTTGAACAGTGTGTGTGCGTGGCTGTGAACGTGCGTGCCTGTGTGTGTATCATTGTGTGTGTCTGTTTGTGATTTTGAAGGCAGCGTCCAAGTCTTAACTGTGCCAGGCCCGAGAGAGATCAAAGCGAGGCAGATGCACATACCTGATATGAGCACTGACTCTAGCCCCAGGGCCAGATGACAGCTGAGCCTTTCTGTCACCTGTTGATTTATTCTGCTATCCCCCTCTACAGATGCACATCTTTATTCGACTTCCTCTTCTTTTCTTTGCTCCGTAACTCTTTGTCATGCTCATACTGTATTATAGTGATGAGCAGTGACAGCATGGGTATTAATACGCTTCCTGGGTTGAAACACTGAGTGGATGGCGAGCATACTAATTACTGTTCCCCCAATACCCTCCTTTACTAATTTCCCATTTCCCTCCTTTTGAAGACTGAGGTAGTGTATATAGGCAGACAGGCAGGCAGGCAGGCTTCTAAGTGAAATGGTCTATTTTGACAATAACAACACTTTTTTGCTGTGAACGTTATGTCATCCCAATTGAAAAGATTAGTAGAATTGGATTTTCTATTTTGTATGGTGCTTCCTGCATGTCTCCCAACTAGTTCTGTTGTCTGTCAGAGCCCGGAGCCTTTGGGGAAGAAGCCGAAAAGTGTGACATGGGCGCAGAATGGCTCACCAGGGAAACAAGGGGGACCATCAGCTAAACCTCAAACCAAGGTAGGTCAACTCTTACACCTGTTTAGACCTCTTTAGGCCAATGTGAAGCCAGAGTAATTACTCACATCCAAATTAAGCGCTGGTGGCTGCTCCCAAAAGTGGTCTTTTCATTTGGCAGATAAATCGTAGAGTTTTCAATCTATGGGAAAAGGTCATGTGATTCCAAAATAGGCCTAGAGCTGAGGAGGCAATGAGAGATTCCAAATAGTTGTTTGTGTTTAGGCAGTCCCAAAGCAGACAGTTTAAAGGGGCAGTCCCAAAGCAGACAGTTTAAAGGGGCATTTGTGGTCTAGGCTTCAAAATAAACTCATGGAAAACACATGTTCTCAGCCAGACAGTTTAGAGTGAAGAATCTTAATAACAGTGTTATGCATTAAAGAACATAATTGGTTAAAGAAAACTGTGATAAAGAAAAAAGTATACCATTTTACATTTACATTTTAGTCATTTAGCAGACGCTCTTATCCAGAGCGACTTACAGTTAGTGAATACATTTTTTATTTTTTTTATTTTTTATACTGGCCCCATGCAAACGCCATGCTCTATCAACTGAGCTACATCCCTGCCGGCCATTCCCTCCCCTACCCTGGACGACGCTGGGCCAATTGTGCGCCGCCCATGAGTCTCCCGGTCGCGGCCGGCTGCGACAGAGCCTGGATTCGAACCAGGATCTCTAGTGGCACAGTTAGCACTGCGATGCAGTGCCTTAGACCACTGTGCCACTCAGGAGTACAGTTTCATTTAAGGACCAAAGGATTGACAGCCGACCCATATAGATTGCAAAATAGTTGGGAAGAGATTTTTGACGTACCGATTCCATGGCATAGTGTTTATGAACTGATACGCAAAACGACGCCGGATTCTAAACTTTTTCAATTTAAATTACTATATAAAATTCTTGCTACCAATAGAATGTTATTTATATGGGGGATACAATCTTCCCAGCTCTGCAGATTTTGCTGCGAAGAGACAGAATCATTAGATCATTTGTTTTGGTACTGACCATTTGTAGCTTGTTTTTGGACACAGGTCCAGGAATGGCTAAAGGATTGCAAAATTTACCTGGAGCTAACTCTGCAGATAGCATTACTGGGTGATCTGAAAAGTCATAGTCAATCGATCAATAATATAATAATACTTTTAGCAAAAAAAAGTATTTTCAATTTACAATCTGTAGAAACAATGAGAATAGAAAGGTTCAGAACTTTTGTAAAACATCACAGTACAGTTGAAAAATATATGGCAAATAGAAATCCAATATGGATGGTGTTAAGAGATAGATGGGTGGTGTTGAATGGAGTTGAAGGATGGGACTAATAACTACTAACAACAACTAATAACAACAAGATAACTAATAATGTAAGCATACTGTGTCCATAATAAGTATATAGTTTATAGGTTGAGAGCTTTTGTGAAAGAGCACAGTTAGAAAGATATGGCATATAGAAGCAAACCGGATGGACATCATGAAAATGATCGGAGAGGTTGCGGGTAGAGGAAGTTCAGGAGTAAAAACAAACAAAATATAATTATTGTAAAATTGACTGTGTCCCTAAAATGTATATAGTATGTATAAGCTGGAAGTAGAGGCCTAAGCATTGTTGTTCACTAGTTTACTCCAGTTAGGGAAGGGGTGGTGGGGTTGGGAAGTAATAAAGGGAAATATATATTTTTTTAAGGATTTGTATGTATATATATATGTGTGTGTGTGTGTATAATATATATACAGTGAGGGGAAAAAAGTATTTGATCCCCTGCTGATTTCGTACGTTTGCCCACTGACAAAGACATGATCAGTCTATAATTTTAATGGTAGGTGTATTTGAACAGTGAGAGACAGAATAACAAAACAAAAATCCAGAAAAAAGCATGTCAAAAATGTTATAAATTTATTTGCATTTTAATGAGGGAAATAAGTATTTGACCCCCTCTCAATCAGAAATATTTCTGGCTCCCAGGTGTCTTTTATACATGTAACGAGCTGAGATTAGGAGCACACTCTTAAAGGGAGTGCTCCTAATCTCAGCTTGTTACCTGTATAAAAGACACCTGTCCACAGAAGCAATCAATCAATCAGATTCCAAACTCTCCACAATGGCCAAGACCAAAGAGCTCTCCAAGGATGTCAGGGACAAGATTGTAGACCTACACAAGGCTGGAATGGGCTACAAGACCATCGCCAAGCAGCTTGGTGAGAAGGTGACAACAGTTGGTGCGATTATTCGCAAATGGAAGAAACACAAAAGACCTGTCAATCTCCCTCGGCCTGCGGCTCCATGCAAGTTCTCACCTCGTGGAGTTGCAATGATCATGAGAACGGTGAGGAATCAGCCCAGAACTACACGGGAGGATCTTGTCAATGATCTCAAGGCAGCTGGGACCGTAGTCACCAAGAAAACAATTGGTAACACACTACGCCATGAAGGACTGAAATCCTGCAGCGCCCGCAAGGTCCCCCTGCTCAAGAAAGCACATATACAGGCCCGTCTGAAGTTTGCCAATGAACATATGAATGAGGATGAACTGGGTGAAAGTGTTGTGGTCAGATGAGACTAAAATGGAGCCCTTTGGCATCAACTCAACTCGCTGTGTTTGGAGGAGGAGGAATGCTGCCTATGACCCCAAGAACACCATCCCCACCGTCAAACATGGAGGTGGAAACATTATGTTTTGGGGGTGTTTTTCTGCTAAGGGGACAGGACAACTTCACTGCATCAATGGGACGATGGATGGGGCCATGTACCGTTAAATCTTGGGTGAGAACCTCCTTCCCTCAGCCAGGGCATTGAAAATGGGTCGTGGATGGGTATTCCAGCATGACAATGACCCAAAACACACGGCCAAGGCAACAAAGGAGTGGCTCAAGAGTGGTCCTCTGTAGCTCAGCTGGTAGCACATTAAGGTCCTGGAGTGGCCTAGCCAGTCTCCAGACCTTAATCCCATAGAAAATCTGTGGAGGGAGCTGAAGGTTCGAGTTGCCGAACGTCAGGCTTGAAACCTTAATGACTTGGAGAAGATCTGCAAAGAGGAGTGGGACAAAATCCCTCCTGAGATGTGTGCAAACCTTGTGGCCAACTACAAGAAACATCTGACCTCTGTGATTGCCAACAAGGGTTTTGCCACCAAGTACTAAGTCATGTTTTGCAGAGGGGTCAAATACGTATTTCCCTCATTCAAATGCAAATCAATTTATAACATTTTTGACATGCGTTTTTCAGGATTTTGTTGTTGTTATTCTGTCTCCCACTGTTCAAATAAACCTACCATTAAAATGATAGACTGATCATGTCTTTGTCAGTGGGCAAACGTACAAAATCAGCAGGGGATCAAATACTTTTTTCCCTCACTGTATGTATATATATATATTTGCGAGAAAAAAAACAACATATTGGAAGTGATGCAGACAATTACATTGATGGAAGTTACAATCTATCTGCAATATTAAAGCTGATCTAACCCCCCCCAAAAAAAAAAAAAAAAAACTTATGCTGTTGAACATTAAAAATGGCAGATATCTTTCAGCATATAGGAGTTGTGATGCGCATAGAGCATACACATCAGCTGTTTGTTCATGGGGGACAGTATAGAAGATCCTGCGTGCAATAGCTACATTTATGTTAACAGTCTGTCACAAGAGACTACATTTGATGTAAATAAAGCTTATTAATACCTATGTATTTCCATAGTAGTTACATAGTCACCTTTTGAACGTTCACAGTAAGACACATACTTATTATGTAAGACGTGTCTGCTCATAAGACCACTGTTCCAGAAGTACTTGCCAAACCTTCAACAAGCTGCATTTAATTAAAGCACTGCAAAGAATGCGATAAATCCCAAGTAGCAATTAGCTCAAGACTGGTACTTAATTACTTAGGTGGAATGTCTTGGACAGCGGCCTTACAAACCCGAGGATTGAACTCTCTGTGTTAAACAAACACATCTGACCCCTGAACACATTTCCCAGGATGGGGTTTAAGACCACGACCCCTCGGCCTGACCTACCGTTTTGAGTTGCAAACCACCTTTGATGCCAAAACACGCCTCCCTCCCACCTTTGCAACCTTCTCATTTTCCACCCATCCTTAAGAATGCCCTAATCAGCCCCCCCACCCACCCACGTAGCCCCCCAAATGAGTCTAGCTTGACTTGAAACAGTAGCAGTGACCTTTTGTCGCAGTAATTTCTCTCTTGTATTGACATAACATAGACTAGCCTCGAACAACAACAGGTTGTTTTTGCCTTAATCAAATAAGAAATTAACGTAAATTAATGTAAGAGAACCTCTCATTTAAATTTTCAAAACTTCATAGCAGTGTCTCAAAGTCTGAAGCTCCTTTTCTCTCTAACAATATGTAAGGTAAGACGCCTTCAACACTTCCTGTCATGACAAGAAATGATCAAAATCCTCACAGCACATTGTTTCGGACTGAAAACGGTACCCTTTGTACGTGATGTCAGACACTAATGCACAATGAGGTGAGACTTGCTATGCTAATCACCGGGGTGGTGCATAGCCCTCGGGGCAGCGTGCGGTGTGTGTCAGAGCGAACGCTGATTAATCTAGCTAATTCTGTAATGGCCGCTGTTCACCATGTCACGACAGCCGTTGTTAAAATGGTAGTGGGGATTAACCAACAGGCTAACCGCCGAAACCTCCTCAGTGATTTCCCTAAGGACATGGAGTAGCCAGCCAAATAGAAAAAGTAGCCAGCCAGGGAGTTTCGGGATGGGGGTGGTTTAGTTTTCCTCCATTTCTGCTCAGCTGCGCACAGCCCTATTCTGTGAGCAAGCAGAGTCACTCGGCTACAGAGCAAGAGGGGAGGGTCGAGGAAAGGGGACAGTAGGAGTCGAAGGAGGCTGAAAGGGAGCAGAGTAGGGTCGAAGATAACGCATGGCCGTCTGTGTAGGGGCTGAGTAGGTAGGGTTGGAGAATAAGTAGCAATAGCTTTTATAACTTTCAGTCTTTTTACTTTTATCGTATTCTCGAGCAGAGTGAG